TGCTCTGCTTCTAGTGCTTCAACTTTTTGTTTAAGTTGATTATAAATGTCAAAATATAAAAAAGTGTTTAACTAAGTTTTCAATACTATAGTAAAGAAATTTAGAATATTGAAAGGTTATTTGGTTTGCGTAATACAAGGGTAATCAAAACTTCAGATGTTATTTGTTATTTATTTATTTAAAAAGCATGCAAAATTTATTTAAATAGTACTGTCTATGTCCTCTTAAACAATTCTTATCAATGTTAGTACAACAAAGTAAAAGTACAAATCGATATGCAATATGCAGGGTGTTCTAGACCACCCATGGAGGAAAATGTTGTTTACTGAAAAACGCATGAGCTTTTGGTCGTATTACCGAATTCGGTTTTCGACCGAAAGTGGGTAAAACAGACCGGAGGTGCATTACTTTAACTGGAGGTTCACTCCAGAACAAAGATTCTAGTTAGTTAGTTAGTTAATTTTCTGGGTGTACTAGAACCAGAGACACCGCGACCTAAAAGATCTTTTGTATTACTTTAAAGGAGTCCCTAACCCAATGAGGCCAAGAAAGGGCCTTGGTAGACGAATTTCTAATAACAGAGAATTTAAAATAAATCAGTCTTTGTAAAGCCGGACAGTGACAGAGCATATGCTCCGAAGTTTCATCAGCCTCGAGGCTGAGCCGGCATTCCGACTCTGTGATCGCAAGTGGAATCGCAATTGGTTGTGACCAGTCAGATACCCAAGAAGTAGCCTGATGTCATTTCTATTTGGTAGGACAATGGTGTTTCTTTTAAAAGAGTAGCCGAAGAACCAGGCCTGTCTAAATCTTACTGTGTTGAGGGTGTACCCAAACAGGAATTATGGCCCTCGAAGAGGACCAACTTATACCACAGAATGGTGAAGGTCCCGAAAAGGCAGTCAGCAATCCTTCACGTGCCAACTCGTCAGCGATCTCGTTGCCTTCGATCCCGGAATGGCCTGGTACCCAACACTTACCGTTTTTTTGGCCCAGATGGCTGCTTGGCTATCTGAAAATATAACCAAAAATGCGCCCTTTAAACCCTTTTCAAGGTGTAATTTTGCGCAGCTTAAGATTGCGACTATTTCAGCATTAAACACCGTGGGCTATTTGCCCATGGGAATCGCATGTTTGGTTCTGGGTCTAAAGATGCCTGCATCCTCTCTGACCGCCATCCCTGAACCATCTGTGTACCAGTGTACATATTTGAGATCAAGCGCAGGGAGCCCATTTGCCAAATCTTTGCGATCGGGGATTATCACTTGGAATCTTCTGCCAAAGCAGACCTCCTTAGTAATGGAATCAGAGATTCCGCATATTTCCAACCCTGGTATCATCCCAAGAATACCTGCATGAAGTTTCTTTGCGAAGAAGCCGTCGTTAGATAGTCGAAGTTGCAGCTGCCACGTGGCTGCTGTTTACTGGATAAAAATATGGAGAGGGGTGCATCCAAGTAGCAACTCAAGAGCCGTAGTTGAGCATGTTCTTATAGATACAGCGACGGATAGACGTACAAATCTTTGCAGTTTGTTATGGCGAATTATGGCAGTTTTTTGCATTGCCTTCTGCCACCACGCTACTGATGCATAGGACACAATCGGACGGACGATCATACGGTAGAGCCACTCAATAATCCTTGAGCTCGAACCCCATTTCCTACCAAAGAGTCTTCTGCAGGCCCACATGGCCCGCGTGGCTTTAGCAACCGTTCTGTCAAGATGGGAGGTCCAATTAAGTCTCTTATCTAGCGTTATCCCCCGATATTTGATATCATCGGAGTATTCAAGTATTGTCCCTCCAAGAGTGACCAAACCAAGGTTCGGTTTATACCTTGTTGTAAACGGTACCAGAACAGCCTTCCGAGTTTTATGCTGAGGCCCTTATTGGCTCACCAGTTTGGGACTACGCGCAGAGCTGCGCATGTAAAGTCAGAGACAGTACTGCCGAATTTTCCCATAACTATAATTGCAAGGTCATCTGCGTATCCCAAAACATCGTAACCACACTTATGTAGTCTGATTAAGACGTCATCCACAAAAAGTGACCAAAGCAAGGGAGAAAGGACCCTTCCCTGTTGACCGCCTCTCACGGCTCTGATCTTCACTTGAGTATTCCCCAAGGACGATACAATTTCACGCTCACGAAGCATAGCGTCGATCCAAACGACAGTAGTAGCGTCTAAGCCTCTTTGGACTAATGCCCTTGAGATAGATCCATAGGCAGTTTTATCGAAAGGGCCCTCGATGTCCAAGAAGGTACACAGAGCGATCTCCTGTGCCTAGAAGGCACTTTAGATCCTACTAACCTGACACTGTAGGGCCGAATCCGTTAATTCCCCTTTAACATATGCAAATTGTGTGTGGTGAAAGGGAGTGAAAGTGTTGACTCTCTCCCTAATATGGAGGTCTAGGAGTCTCTCAAAAGTTTTTAAAGTGAAGGAAGTTAGGCTAATAGGTCTGTATGATTTAACTAAGTCAAGCGGCCTGTTGCCCGATTTTGAATAAATAACACGGACACCTTCCTCCATGCATGCGGTATTTATTCCCAGCAGTAACTAGCCCTAAATATACAGATCAGGGGATCAATGATATCCTCAATACTTCTTTGCAGTAGTGCTGGGAAGATCCCATCACCACCGGCTGCTTTGAAGGGTTCAAAAGACTCTACCGCCCACCGTACCTTGTCCCTGTCAAAGATGGAGCCAGATCTGCGTTGACTTCTCACTCTAGGGAACCTGTGTTTCGAGGAGACAGGGGCGATCAGATCATGCTCCCCAAAAGTTTTGTTTTTGTCCGTGCTAAAAAATATACATTTATCCTATTAAAAGAATTGGCTTCCGGTCAGTTTAACCAATAATACGATTGAAAGATAGGTCATTCCTGACTTGGATATTCGTATTTTTTCGTTTTCCAATTAAAACATTTCTACTTACTTTAGAAGTTTATATGGGACCAATTGAAGTTCGAAGGTCATTTAGAGGTTGAAAAAAGCACGTCCGAGAAAAAAGTTTCAACCAAAAGTTGCGTTTTTGCCGAATCCAATTATATGGTAAAACATATATAATAATAATAATAGATTGGCGCTTACACATATGTTAGTGTTTGGCCGAGCTTCTCCACCGGTTTGTGGCGTGCGCCTTGATGTTGTCATACAAAGCGGAGGAACCTACAGTTTTACGCCGACTCCGAACGGCGATTGTATTTTTAAGAGAAGCTGTTTTTCATGGCAGAAATACACTCGGAGGTTTGCCATTGCCTGCCGAGGAACGACCGCTGTTAAGAAAAAACCTTTTTTCTATATTTTTTGCGATGTTGCTTTGACCAGGGTTTGAACCCAGGTGCTCCGGAGTGGAAGCGCGCACTGCTTACCACTACACCACAGCGGCCGACATATATATTTAATTAAAAAAAATGGGCTTCCGGTTCATTTAAACCACTTCCCGCCAGAACCGGAATCCCCGACTTGAGAGTTCATGACCTCGCACTTCCCAATTAAATCATTTTCCTTCCAGAGGTACTTTGGAATCAGCAAAACAAAAAAATTACAACACACTACAAAAGATCAGAAATCACTGGTCCCAGATGGTGGGTATTCAAAAATGCTAAAACGTGTGCCATTTGGTCACGTTCATACTCTTTGGAAAGAAGTTAGGGTAGTCTTCATTCCCAAGCCTGGTAAGAATGACTATGCGCTGGAAAAAAGATTCAGGCCAATCAGCCTGACATCATTCATACTGAAAAATCTGAAGCGCACGGTCGATAAGTACATTAAATCAATGGTTTCGGTGAACAGCCCCCTTAGGGTTCATCAACATGCATACCAAGCGGTAAGATCTGTGAATCAGCTCTAAATGACCTTGTTGCAAAGACCGAGGTCGGTCTGGTAGCAGGTGACTTCATTCACATGCCAGCTTACCCGGATGATGTTTGTGCAGGATCATCAAGTTAGAGTCGGATGTCTTTCCGCGGAGCCATATTCATACTTTACGAGTAGTAAGAATTTGTGCATTAACTTCGCAACTAGCACAACCCAAGATTCGACTGTCCCGCTGTGCAGTCGTTTTGCAGTAGTTCAGTACTGGTATTTGTATAGCGGAACTAGCGCTTTGCCAGATTGTGTCTACACTTTGCTGCAGGGTGCGTATGAAGATAGCGCAAAATGCATCGTTATAACTATCATTACTACGAGTATAAACATAACTTAGCAGCAATGCGTATAAACATATTATAGAGCGCATATGCAGATACGCTGATGCCAAAGGCAAGCCACCATAATGATGTATGCAAAAATGCACGAGTAGTACCTACATGCATCCATATACATATATATTAATTTATGCATATACATATGTTTATGCGCTTTAGGAAATTTTCACTTCGAGCAACTGCAACTTAGTCCAAGCAAGCATGAAACTAACCTCTTGCCTAGCTAGCTTTTGTTGCATCGGTTGCATCCGTGGCAGCTTCCCCGCTTTTCCTAAGCGCTTAGCGAGCGTCATGAAAATGTGTTAGTAATATTAGCATAATTTGTTTATTAGTAGTGGCAACAGCTGTGTGCTGCTGCACAAATGCCAGCCATGCGGCATGCAACGCATAAACTAACAAATAGCACACTCGTACGCGTAACTATTAATATACGCGGATATTTTAGAGGAACACATGCTCCAAATGTGCAATCATACATATGTACATACATGCTGCATACATACATATGTTAGCAATATAACGACCTGCATATCTATGTATGTATGTACGTATGTATATCTATTTCCTTACACCCAAAGTTAGCGAAATATTTTTTACGTATATAATTTTAAGGCAGGCAGTTAAGCGAAATCATAGTTTCACGTCTTGCGAGTGGTTAGTTATGCGCTTTTGATGTTAAATTGCTAACTATTTTCATATTGCAGCTGTTAACTTTCAAACAACGATTATGGGTTAGTGTTAGTCTACGTATGTATGTATGTATGTATGTTAGTTTGTGTGTGTTGTACGAACCCGCTACGGTTTGTATATGCCCAAACATTCCAGCAAACTCATCATCACCAGACTGGTAAATACGGTCTGAGCTTATATAAAATGCATCGTCATTGTAGTATTGTTGTAGAAAACTGCTCGTTTCATCGTCGATGGTGTCTACAAAAATACATGAGGGAAAAAGTATGAGCTTGATAATAAGTATACTACATAATTTTGATTATGGTTGTGGGCGAAATTGGGGTGATGGAAATTATTAAAGAAAGACTAAAATTTACATAAAATTAAACTAATTAAAATAATTTTGTTTATTGTAATATAAATAGAACTAAAACGCAGCTAAAAGCTTTAAATTAAGTCTAACATAAGATTCGTTCAATACGAAAGTATATGAAAAAAATAATAAAAAATAAAGATCAATTTTAATTAAAAGTTTTGGTCATAAGAAACCTACAGTATATAAAAAGCAAACATGAAATCAGGGATCTTTTTGAAAATCAGTCCTGTTTTATTCTTACTTATTCAACAAGCCTTAACAATTACATCAAAAAATGTTCAACTTTTTATAGCCCATTAGCCCTCATTAGTCCCTTAAATAACAAAACTAATTTATCCTTAGGGCAACTTTTGACCCTGTGAAAATTAGAGGTTTTTTGGATTAAACAAAATATTTGGAGCTGATTTATTGATAATTCGTCCTTTGTTTTTTTTCACATTTAACACATATTACAGGTTTGTTGTGGTGATATTTTCATAGAAATTTGTTGCACATTACACATTTCACGGATTGTTGGTTTGCGCTAATGTCACACAGACATAAGAAATGTCGAACACGTTAATTTGTGCTGATTGTGAAATGCTGGCTCCAGTGCTCTGTGTTTGTTCAACAAGCGGGCCGGCATTGATTCGACGGGGGAATTATTCCTCCCAAAAGTGAATGAATATTTAAATTTCGTCTTTTATGTGAGATTAGGGTCATTTGTGCCCCTGGGGTCCAATTGGTAACAATAGCCAAAAATATTTCAGTTACAATTTAAAATTCCATAGTAAAGAAAATTTTAATTTTTTAGCAGAAAAAATAGAGCAAAAAAATTTAGTTGTTCGGACCCAAGGCAAGTGAGAAAATCAGATTCAAAATTTAAAAGGGGCCAATTTTGAACCTAAAGACTAATGAGGGTTAAATTTAAGTGGGTTACTGTGCAAATTTCAGTACACCAAACAATCGCATTGATTTTTAATGTTTTTTTTTGTTGCCGATGCTAGGCATTTTCTTCCTAAAAGTAATTGTCGAATTGATTATTATATTATTGAATCAAATTTTCCAATCTATATGATAAAGAGAACGTCCAATTAGTGTTTACATACGACAATACTTTGAGAAGTATATTTAACAACATGAAAAACAAAATTCCCAAGCATGAGAAATCTGATGTAGTATACAGTATTCCATGTAATGGCGACGGGTCCCACGAATGCAAACAAGTATATGTGGGGACAACCAAATCAAAACTTAAGACAAGGATTTCCGCTCACAAATCGAACGTAAAATTAAGGAATACTTACTCGGACAACAAGACGGCCTTGTCATCCCACTGTAAAGAGACGGGACATTACCCCGATTTTGAAAATGTGAGTGTCTTAGAAGAAGAGAAAAATTACCACAAACGCTTTATATTAGAAATGCTCCACATTGTGAACACCCCTAATGATAAAAGGATGAATTTCAAAACAGACACTGAAAACTGTGCACACGTCGACCGCAACATAATATTAAGGCACAACAAACAAGCCTAATATTGGTGTCTATTATTCGTTCCGTGTCCGAACTTCATCTATGATAACATTACAATGCTGGATGATTTGCATACATATTTATGTCGTACTGTGTGCCGTCCAATGCAATGCTGTTTGTATGATTTTTTGTTCACAATTACTGTCCTTTCACTTGGTTATATTTTTATATCCAGTTCATCTCGTTGTTTGGTTTGTTAAATCTTTTGTTTTTTTGCACACATTAGTCTACCAGGCGCAGCGGAATGTGTAAGTTGCGCTTATATATAGTATGTTGATAGTCTTTTATGCAATTTTTGTAATTAAGATATTCATTGCAGTCCTGATGGTGACTTCAGACTGAAGTCGAAATATAGACGATTTAAAAACAACAAAAACAGATTGTTTTATTTCATCCCGGCCGTGAGCTCAAAAAATCAACAGAATCTTCAATTAACGGCCAAATATAAATAAAAAATATTTGAAAGAAAGAAAAAATTGGACTGGTTTAATTTCCTGTGGACTATATCGATAGCTGAGTGGAAGATCGACCTATCTGGGCAGGCAGTTCGAAAACGCCCTATCTAAGAAAACTTTTCAACAACGCCCTTCTTCAGAATTTGATTGAAGAAGCCCTATTTCAGAATTTTATTGAGAGACACCCTATCTCGGAATTCGGTTCAAAAACGCCCTAACTCAGCTGAAAATACATTGAAAATGTGCTGAGTTAGGGCGTTTTTGAATCGGCAGCTGATATATATATGTTTTTCAATAAAATTTTGAAATAGGACGTTCTTCTATCAAATTCTGAAGAAGGGCGTTGTTGAAAAGTTTTCTTAGATAGGGCTTTTTCGAACTGGCTGTCGAGATAGGTCAATCTTCCACTCAGCCATCGCATCCACGCAGCGAGTAGCAATTCTGCATCAAGCCGCGTGATTTCGCAACGCTGGTGGAGTTAATAAACCTTTACGAAAAATTTGAAAATTTTATATCCGGCACCTTTTACGACATGAATCTCACGTTGACGCCTCTAGATGTGCATCGATTCCACAAGTGCGCCGGGAAGAGCGGTATCACGTCCTGAAACCAACACCGATGAACCCCAGTAGTGCGAGACCGTGGCAGGCCAGAAACGACGACCGAAGAACAGCGCAGACCCGAGAACTGCATGCAGGCGAAGCGAAGAGAGTGGCCAGGTTGCGTGCGGATGCCGTAATCCTAGAATGAACTTCTGCTGGAAGTGTGGTCGTCGCGGGGTGCACGCAACAGACTGCTACAGAAGGATGCAGGGAAAGGATCTTTGGTCCCGCCCAGGAAGCGAAACCCCAAACCAGGGTGACCTTATGCTCAGGAGAAGGGCGAATCGTTGCGACCGCCACACTAGAAAAGACGAAAGTGCAGGCGCCAGTAGACACTGGAGCCATGAGAAGTTTCATTAACGACGCGAACAGCGAATGCTTTCCACGGTTGAGGGTAAAGATGGTGGAAACAAGAGTTCTGATTGGTGATGGTAGCTCAACTATGATATGCGAGGCTATAGATGCGACAGTCGGTATGGGTGACCAAGCCTACAAAACCGAGCTATTAATGCCACCAAAACTTGCAGGCGACATTATCATAGGGGTCGACTACCTCTCCCAGGCGCGTATTTGCATACGTTGCGGAGGGGAGTTATTGACGCTAGAAGCGCCTGATATGCCTTAACGGAGGTTACGTGCATCACTATGGCTGAGCAAACTTGCAAAAACTCCGACAAGACCCCACAACCGCCAAACGTTTTTAACCCTCCGTTTACGAGTTCTTATAACACGAACTAAGCGTCTTAGAGGAAATGGCAGATACATTCAACATAGCCACGCACAAAACAACTATGACCGCCCTATTAGGCAAAGGTTACTTCCCGGAGAACCCACGCATGCATGAGATCATCAGCAAAGAGCGCCGGATGGCAGAGCCCTGCAAATGGCTGGAAGAGAAGATAAGGGAAGTAAAACTTAGCTCCGTTAAATTTCCAGATTACACTCTGGGAGACGGTAACCTCTACTGATACCTTCCTGCCCACGTTGATGGACAAGACTACATCCCATGAAAGTTGCGCTTAGCGAAGACTCTGAGGCAGAGGGTACTACATGAGGTCCACGAACCAACCATCGATGGCCACATGGGCGTACAGAAACCCATCGCAAGAGTCACTGCACGATATTACTAGCCAGGCATATTCTGCGATGTGTGTAAATACGTGAAAGGGTGTCAGTCGTGCCAACTATATAAACCCAGCAAACAGCCGACTTCGTTGAACCGATCCCATGATCAAAACACGTCAGCACAATGATGACAAATTTTCTAAGTGGGTAGAGATCATGCCCCTCTGGAGCACGTCATTTCGGGAACAGAACGGTATGGAGCGATTCGGTATTCCGAAAAACCTGGTGACAGATAACGGAACGCATTTCACCAGTCGGGCATTCAAAAGGGTTCCTCGAGCGGAGAGGCACCAATTTGCTACTTCCTATATTCAACAGGAAAACCCGACGGAGATAACAAACCGCAACGTACCATGTACGTACGCAGTTTGTTGGCGAGCGACAACGGAACTGGGACGGCCTGATGCCGGAAAAATGCTACCACTGAATACCAGCGTCTGAGAGCCGCATCTCTCAAGGGCAGTATATGACGAGACTACGTTCAGCACGGGGTAAAACCACAACGCCAAACGGGACGGCCGCAACATTAAAGGAGGTATTTAGTCCGGTGCATAAAAAACCAATAGCAAAACATCGGTGGAATAAACACGTTACCAGAATCTACGAGAGAGGCAGTGGAGACCAGCTATAGGCGACCTGGTGTTACTGTTCACCGGTTATCGTGGAGGTGGAAAGACATGGAAAGACTAGGGCCGCATATATAAGCAAAATGAAGGCCACCTCCTAGAAGCAACTAACACGGCACCGAAGGGTAATGCAAGCCCCGAAACGAAGGTGCAGAGGCGGCAAAGAAGGTGAGAGAATTTATTTAGCGAAATTTGAAAGAAAATTGTACAAAAAAATTGCAGAAAATAATTTTGGAGGAAGCAAAAAACATAAAAAAATTACAAGGAAAAATAAAAAAACAAAGTTTTAGAAAATTTTTTTGGAAAAATTTTGGATGAAAAGTATAAGGAAATAAAAAAAAAAAGGTTAAAGGAAAAATTTTGAAAAAAATTACATTGAAAAAATTTTAGAGAACAAAATGTACGTAACACAATTTTGGGGAAAGAATTAAAAAAAAATGGGGAAAATTTTGATGAAAAATTTTTTGAAGAAAATTTTCAAGGGAAATTTTTTGAGAACATGCCCAGCAAAAAATCGGTAATCGCTTTTAGTGGTAACGTCTTCTAGAA